CCCTCCCAGACTGTGAGCTAGGTCTTCTTTGCTTTACCATGAGCAACAAAGAATGAAAAAGAAATGTTCTCTGACAGAGACCTGCTTCTCAGACTAGATCACTAAGCAGGAGTGACTTCTACCATGCTTTGTCTTGGTGTTTTGGAGTATGATGTGGGGCAGGGTTTCTGACTTTGCTGTGCAAAGTGCCAGGGCCAGAGGGGAGAGGGAATGAGTGAACGTACTCATCTGTTTGTTTTTTTCTCACACAGCAACGTGCATAGATTTCCCCTCAAAACACTGTAGGAGTGCAATCACCTGAAAATCAAGAATGTTTATTCCCGTGTTTTCTGGTTTTCATTCGAGGGATACTGTGTCTGTATTCACTTACTACTGAGCACTTGCATTTTGGTTTACTCCTCCTAATTATGAGGTGGGTTGTACACAACTGTCATAGAAAAATCCTCTACAACTGTTCCAGTCTTGAACATTGACTAGATCACAAATTGAGTTGACCAGACTGTGGTAGTTGTTCATTATATCAAAACTGAATGTTTCCCCTAGTTCTGCTGTGTTGAGGGTTGGTTGGGTTTTTGTTTTGGTTTTGATGGGTTTTTCCATTGTGGTTGTTGGGTTTTTTTGTTTGGTTGATTTTTTTGTGGTGGATTTTTGTTTGGGTTTTTTTCAGGTTTTTGGTTTTGGGTTTTTGTTGTTGTTGTTGTTGCTTGTTTAAAATGAATGGTTAGAAAGAGGCTTGGCATAGAAAGGACCAGATTCTACAAACTAGTAAAGTGTGGAGCTCTTGCCAAAGTCCCACTGACATCCATGGGAGGAAGTCTGCCCTGTTAAATTGCCTTAGCCCTACAAGGCGGAGAGGATTATGTATGGAGCATGGTGGAAATGTGTAGGATTTCATTTTTTCACTTTCACTTTTTGATACTTTTGTGTGTGTGTTAGACCATATGTGAAGAAAGACAATCTCTGCATAGCATTGCCATGGCAGTGGAAGTCCCAGGACCACTCCTGGTGTTTTTAGCATGGGATTGTAAAGTCCAGGTCGTATGCTGTTCCTTGGTAGTTATATATTAATAAATTGTGGGTCCAAAGGGCTTCTGTTACCTTGTCTAGAAGTTCACAAGAAACTTTTCTTCATTTCTATTGCCTTTCTTCAATGTGCTGTACTACAGAAACAATGATCTTTCTGGTCAGTGTCCTTGTTTTTCCATTTTGAGAAGCCTGATGCCTTTACTGAGAACAGTTCTGGTAGGTTATTTATGTGTTCTGCCTAATTATTTCATGAGTGTAAGCATTTTTTCAACTTACAGTAAAGTAAGAAGAATTAGTTCAAGCCTCAGTAAAAGTCACTGTACATTTATGTATTAGAATCAGCTGCTTCTTTTTAATCTGTTTCTTGTCTCAAGGACTGTATGGAAGCATTCATGTAACCATGAATTAAACCTAATCATAGATTTGAAGTGTTTCTGCTTCTAACTTCTACCACAGATTAAAAGTAGGTATGATGTATTAATAGACATCTCAGTACTGAGCACAGTGAAAGAAGTTTAGGGAGAAAACATGGCTGTTGAATTAAGTTTAGTTTATCTGACACTGAAGACTGTTATGTAACTTTTTTATAGTATGTTGTGTTCATCGTGTGGAAAGTACCCATGGTTAAAAGAGGCTTTTAAATCACTCACTTTCTCTGTGCATTATTTTAGTGGGGTAACAAAAAGGCTTTTATTATGGAGTGCTTTGCTATTGTCCTTTATAACCATTGTAGCTCTGACAGAGAAAGATGAATTCTTTTTCTGGCTCACTTTCAATAGTATTAACAAGCATCTAGGCACTTTCTGACTGCAGTTGCTGGAGCCTGTCAGAAAGCAGCTGCTCGTGCCAGATCCAAAGTAGAGCTAGATCTGTGGTTTTCAGTCTGCAATTCATGGAGCTTCTTTCTACTACTGAGATGTTTCGGAAAGCTGGCTAGGAAGTGCAAATCTGTGCCACGTATCACTGTACAAATGTGAACTTTAGAGGGATCTGCTTCCACTGAAATAATTTGAGATCTGTCATTTGGAAAATGCCGAAAACCAGGCATTTAAAGCAGTTGCAATGTTTCAAGAGAATATGTAGTCGCTATTGTGGAAAAGTTCGTATGAGGTCACCTGAACTGTTGCTAAGTTAGTGACACTGCAGTGGGAATGTTTTCCCTTTTCCTTTCTCTGATGTCTCTGAAGGAAACAGACATGCCCTGTCCTTTCTGCACAAAAAAAAAGGAGGATTGTAGGATCTACGAGGCCCTGTCTGCATAATGCCAAAAAGAATAGGCATTGTTACATGTTATATAGAGTTAAAGTGAACATCGCTGGTTAACATACAGCTGATACTTTTGATGGTATGATGCCTGATTTACTGACATACTACACACACTGCCCCCTGCCGCAGCCCCAAGCAGTTTTATACAAGGTAATTGCAGACTTGGCTGTAGAGTACTTAAAAAAAAAAAAAAAAAAAAAAAAAGTCACACTCTCATTTCCAAGCTATAAATTAGTATTAAGGTGGTATTAAGGTGTCTGACCTTGTTTGTTCTTGCAGAAAACCAAATGCTGCTTTGTTATTGCTAGGGAACAGATATCTTGTGTAGCTTACTCTTGACTTACTTGCTCCTCCTTAATCAGCTTCAAAACTCATTCTTTTTTCACTTCTTCCCTGAAATCTCTTCAGGTCTCTTCCATTTCAGCTTTTTTCAGTTTCATGATTATTTTATTACCACTGCTTTATTTTTTTAATCTTTGTTTACTGTGAGATCTGGAATTTACAAGTCCAGGTAAATCATAGTTTCAGCTAGTTCTGCCAGGCTCAAAACACTTGCCTACTTCTTTTCTTCCCACCCACTGTGGTGCTTTGTCAGGATCACTGTGTTGAAATTGTCTCCCACATTATAGAACAAGCTTTAAGAAACAAAAATAAAAGCTTGTTTTAAGAAATAGGTTGATGTGAATCTCTATAGCTACTTATATTGATGCTGGTGGTGTTACAAAGAGCAAGAATTGCATCATTTGTAAATTGATGTGAAGTCCTTAAACTTTGATTGCTTGATTGTAAGGCTGTGTTGGCATGATCTGGATGTATGCAAAACTCCCATGTCTCTCACTGCCTGCTTACAAATAACAACTGTAGCTAAATGTAAAGGTACGTGAACAGAAGATGAATCCCAATTTATTTTTTTGTCCTCCAATAGACAAGAGTTTATTTCATAGACATACAGAAAGTCAAGGTAGTTTGGCAAACAATAAAGCCTTGAACTTCTTATCATCACCTCCTTGGGGAGGACTGTTGAAGCTGCAAGTTAGTGACTGATGACTTCATGACTCATTGAGTATATACAGGATAAAAAGTGAATGTTCAGGGAAAACTTCCAATGGAAGAGAAATTGCTGTATGCTAATAAATAAAGCGGTACTTCACCCTGCATATTTGAGGAAAATGCTATTTGTTATGCACACAGGAAAGGAAAGGCAATATCTTCATCACTGCTAATTTTACAGTATCCTGCAGAGGTCTAACTGAAATGTGCATTTTCAAGGCGGTGTAACAAATTTTTGTAGTTGAGACATGTAACAGAAGTTATTGGTCAAATGCAATATTGACTTAAAAATATAAGGGGTTTGGATTTTTTCTGATCTCTTTTTTTCTTTTTTCGTCTCTTTTTTTTAATATGATACAACTCTTACTATTTTTCTCTGCCAGAAGCTTACACCGGTAAAAAGCTGAATTTTTAGTCTTTTTATCTGTGAGAATACAGGTTATCTTTTCTTAAAGAAGAGATTTGGTATTTCAGTTCAGTTTTTAATTTTTTTTTTTTCCCTAAACACAGTTTTGTCTTTGGCTGATTCAACCACTAAGCTTTTCAGGCATTTTAGGGTTAGAGTGCTTCTTTTGTACTCTTCCTTTCTGGACTTCAGTTTATGTTGTTTTGCGGGGTAAAAATGATGTGCAGAATTGCAATCTCTTCTCTTCCTGCACCCTAAAACAGGAAAATTTTAAAAATGCAGGCAGTAAGCCTGTGTAATAATTTCTGAGTAAATATTTTACTGCTTTTTCCATCTGTTACACTAAAATCAGACTTAAACTAGGCATAAATCTAGTCAGAAGAGGTCACTGGGGTATTAATCATCAGAGTTAATCCTCTTAGACGTGTGCTTGGTATGAGGCCAGCTATTCAGAAATTTAACAGCACACATATGTTGCTTATCTGTCTGGCAGCTTACCAATGAAGTAAACTTTAAATCTGTGGTGGGTTTATATCTCTGTAAAGTACGCTGCTTGTTTGGTGCAAGCTCTGATGCAGCTTTTTTGTATATCACACATTGTGCATTGCCTGCTACTGAAGAATGAGTTTCTTTCAGGGTGCTTTCAAAGAGCTGTAGCCTAGTGTTGTGTGATATGAAATGATATCATTCACAGTTGACCTTTTCATGGTGCTTCCCTGTGAAGTACGATGAGCCAGATTTAATACTACTAACTCGGAGCAGAGGAGGAGACAATATTTCAAGTAGAGTAATACTGTGGAACCCAAATATAGCTGAATGAAACCTCACCCTGCCTCCACTCTTGCCATTCTGACTTGGAAGAAACATTTATGTACGTAAATACAACTCTTTCTTGAGTTAGGTCTGGACTGCACCCAATATTTCTGTTTCTCACTTCACTGGAGCAGGCTTCATACTTGACAGAAAAATTATTATATCATATCCCAATTATGGAACTGATTCATCCCCCGGAACATGGAAAACAAACAGTAGGAGTGAGTGCATCATTAAAAAAATAGTGTATTTTTAGAGAAGAGGTAGAAATAAAAGTGCAACTCCATTGAAAAATTTCATGATAAAGAAAATTACTTGCATTAGAGGAACTTTTTAAAACAATCTGAGATTATGGCTGAAAGAACATTGTTTCTTAGTAATGTGTTAATACTTTCCTTGCAAGAAATTATTAATTTTCTTCTTGCCTTTGTTTCTCAAGGAAAAGAATGAAAGCTCGTGCTCCTCCTCCACCAAATCAACCTTCTGCAGCAAGTAGAATTCACAGTGAGCACAAGTCCCCTGCAGAGACAGCTGTAATTTCTGATCAGAACCTTGTGAGCATGAAGGAGAACATGATAAACAGATTGGTGGACTTCACAGTCATTCTACCCAGTGGGGTGGAGCAGAAGAACACAGTACAAGGAAGGTAAGGCTTTGATTATCTCCCACTTTCTAGAGCCCTTTGTTCCCAGTGGGATACTTGCTGATATTGATGTCTTTCTGAGTTTATGGGATTTCTCTGTCATGTGCTTCTCTGCATTTTGAGCAGCTGCTGCAGCAGAGAGTCCTGAGAGCCATGTATAAAGGACCCTCTCTTCTGGGGCAGGACGGATTTAGCAGCTACTGTGTCACTGGCCCCGTGGACCATAATCAGCACATGTACAAATCCATCTATTTCATATAGCACCAATAGGCTTAGACTGTATCACATTTCATAATCCAGAGTGGGTTTGGTGCAGTGGAAGTAGGTGGCTCCTGGCAAACAGCAGTCCTGACAGTATGACTGCCTGGAATCAAAAAGCAAGCTCAGAAGATGAATGATTCCTTACGTTCAGACGTGCCATCTTCACAAATACTTTGCAGTTGTGTAGACAGTAAAGCATCTGCTCATATTTAGGAAGCCTTTTATATAGAAAAGTGTATTTTTTTCCATGGAAAGAGGGAGAGGTTACTTACTGGGTACAACCAAGGGCAAATTGTATTGGAATGGCAATTTTGAGATAATTTTCTTCACTGTGGGAACTCTTTCTTATCCTCTCTGTGTGAATTGGTTTGAAAGAGGGAGATGTTACTTTAGGAAATAATTTGAAAAAGTTTTAAAAATACAATTAATACTTTGATGAAACTGTTGCAAATGGTGTGGTCAGCAGTAGACAAGAAATTGTAGGAAGTTGTAGCATCAAGTTCAGAGGATATTATAGGAGCCTGTTGATAAAGCAGGGTCTGTGCTTATCTTACAGTCAGGGTTTTCAGTAGTTATTTGCATTCCTGTAGAACTACTCCTTTTGGTCTGATATGTTAGTCTGTTTTGACTGGTTGCCTATTAGTGTATTTTGATGCCTGAGAAGGACGTGTATAGCAGTTGTTACTCACTCTCAGGAGACTAGTGCAACTTGGGTGGGTCAGTCTCAAAGCCAGAGTGATGTTGAAGGTTTGAAAGGAAAGCAGTGGTTATCAGGGATTTCAGATTAGACATGTAATGCTTGAGTTTTTATGGGGAGATTTGGACTTCATGAGAGAAAGAAGAGAACAGGCCTGAGAAGCAGAACAGGACATGAAACTCATGAGCCATTAGATCCCAAAGAAAGGTGATATTTCATTGTCAAATTCAAGCCACCTGAGAGCTGACAAGAGGCTAATATTCATGCAGCATTTTGTATTGAGACATAGATAATTGCCATATGGTTAGAAAATATTTATTTTCCCTCACAAAAACTTAATCCCAGAACAAACAGTCCAAGAGCACTAGAAGAGTGGTGTTTTAATGCGACTTTTTGAAGAACATAAAAGCTAGTTGAGCAAAGAACAATTGGAAAGTCCCTGTACAATTAACATTCTGTGTCTTGCACAGTTGTTTATCTCTAGCTATCACATATACTGAGACTGAGTGTTTTGTTTATTAGAGTCTTTAGTCTGTGGACTAAAACCTGAAAGAAATGTTGAAAATGAAACTTCACATGTGAGGTTATTTATATCATCTGTATTAAGCATTCTAAGCAACCACACTGTTCTCTTTGTGTTTGTGAAGGTATTCACTTCTTTCCAGTAACTGCATGACAGGTGTAGGCCTCTGATTTAGGTGGCAATTAAATTCCTACTTGTGTTAATGTGCTAAGCCAGTGCCTAACCTAGGTAGTAGCTGTTCTCCCTCAGCGCTGTCTTGAAGACTTCTGAAGACAGAAGTCAGTGACACTGATAGTCAGCTGTGGGAAGTGGAAGATGATAGAAACTGAGGAAGGGGGAATAAATCATTCCAACAAGTTATGAAGTAAGAAAAGGATACTCTGTAATGAGCCCTGTATACTGTGGCATTAGTCTGTGAAGAGATTTCATGTGTACTGCTGTTCTTTCTAATCATTTGAAGATGCAATTTTCTGTACATTAATACTGGTAATGATTTCAGGTATGTGGAATAGTAAAAATAATAACGTCAGGAGTATCTGAAATTTGTAGTGGATGAACTGTCTTAAGTACCTGGGTTTGGATGAAAGCCCAGGCATTTTTGACCTTTTGCATTGTTTTGACATTGTGAACTGAACAGCTGTGAAGACAGTGGTACTTGGAGGTAGACACTAAATGATGAAGATACTGGATTTTTAAAAAAAATGTTTTTTTTTTAAGTTTGAGGCAAGTACAAGAGCTAGTGCAAGTAATGAAATTTTTTCCCTGTTCACTCTTTTTATCTGTGGTGATATCATAAAAGGGCATTGCAGAAAACCTGCTGTTGTTTATACTGCTGTAAATCTTCAGTATTTTTGTTACCGTCATCAAAACTGCATTCTGCAAAATCTGCTTTTGGGTACCCTGGGGAAATAGGTTTTTTACTGCAGAAAAATTTGCAAAACCTTGCCCTGGGCATCTTCATAATGAAAAATTATTCTGTAATTTCAGGAAAGCAGTTCACAGAACAATGAAGTACACTAGATTATATTTGAAAATATAAATACTGTAGGTAATTAGTATCACTTAAGGTTATTGTAAATGAACTAAGTTAAAAGTTATGTATTTCAATTTGTTCATTATATACATGTTGTTAATTTAACTTTGTTCTCTATGTAGAAAGTTTGTGCTATTTAAAGATATTTTATTGGAATCTAGAACTGTTAAATAATTTCAGTTATAAAAGTTAACTCAAGCTGAAAGTCTCTCTTTAAGAGTTTATTGCCATCTTGTAACACACAGTTTGTTTGAGATTTTGGAACTATGTAGTGCAGATTTTAAGTTAAGTCCTTAGGAAGTGTGTGCAGCAATAGAATAGTATTAAAAATCAGTTTTCTTTTTTTTAAATAATTGATCCCCATGAACTCTACTGTAAAACATGTAGAAGTATTCATGAAAAACTGTTAGCCTGCTTTCCACTGAAACCCCACAACTACTCTTTGTGTTTTTGTATGACCGATATGCAGAACAGTAAACTGGAGAGTTGTTGCTCCTGCTGTTATCTTATAAATTCTCTCACCTATGTGATGCACGGAGAGAAGAACACTGGAATAAGCAATAAACTAGCCGAAGCTGTAGTCCCATTGTGCAAATACTCCAGGACAGATTTCACTGCAGAATATGCGTCATACAGAGCCTAAAGCTAATGTCATCACAGAAAGAACATTCTCACATAATTCTCAGTAATAGATTCGTTATTGCAGGTTTATAGCTCAACATATAGAACAGTGTTTCAAGAAAGAAAGACTGAAAGTGTGAAGTCAGCCCAGGCTGGTAAAACATGAAAGAGTTGTTGTTAGAAAAAGATAAAAAGGGCACATGGCAAAAGATTTAAAAATTACCTTAACTAAATTCTAAATTAGAGCCAGGTCAAAACTACAGTAGTTCAATATAGGTTAAGAAAAAAGAAACAGTCTTACTAGAATAATTTACAGAATAATTTATGTTGGAAATGGGCCACTGGAACTCACCATTTCTAGGCAAGTTTGAATACCTCCAGGGAGGAAGTTTCTAAATGTCTCCGTACCCCTTTTCCAGAGCTTGACCATCCTCATGGCAACAAAATGTTTTCTTGTACCTAAATGGAATTTCCTATGTTGGCACTTGTCTCTTGCCACTTATCCTCTTGCTGTTCGCTGGCAAGAAGAATCTAGTGCTGTAACCTTACCAGTTCATACTTACAGACAGCAGGAAAATCCCCCTTCAGCCTTCTTGTGTTAAGGCTCAACAAACCCAGTCCTCTGGCTCTTCTTGTGTGTCATTTTAATGTTCCTTCTGTGGACTTGCTCAGTTATGGAAAATGAGACAAATGTACACGAGCAAAATAAGAAAAGAAATAGAAAACATTTATGAGTGTCTGTTTATTATGCTTCCTGAACTTGTTTGGATAAAGCTTGCTATTTAGTGTATACATTTCTGGTTGTGTAGGAAAAATTTTAATCTTTTCATGAAGTGCCTGCTGTATTTTGGAGCGTGAGAAAATAATAATGACTAATGCTATTTTCTGTTTGCAAATGCATATAGTGAAAGCATTAGAGCTTTCAGGTCACACTTTACACTATAGTGTTTCTTTTCCAGTCAGTTGTCACTGTAGGTTCCTAACGCATATCTGGCACTGATCTAAATAAAGAGGATTCTTTCTTCCAGTTTGAGATTTATTTTTTTTTTTGGCATATAATGGCTTAGGTTGGAAGGGTCATCTGATTCCACCCCCGCTGCCATGGACAGGGACAGATTCCACCAGACCAGGTTGCTCAGAGCTCCATTCATCCTAGCCTTGAACACTTCCAGTGACAGGGCATCTACAACTGCTCTGGCCAACCTATTCCAGTGCCTCACCACACCCTCACAGTGAAGAATTTCTTCCTAATATTTAATCTAAACCTACTCCCAGTTTGAAGCCATTTCCCCATATTCTGTCACTACATGCTCCTGTGAAAAGTCCCTCTCCAGCTGTCTTGTAGGCTCCCTTCAGGTACTGAAAGGCATTTGTAGAATGAAGGTAGAAGGTAATAAGAAAGTTGGTTTCCTCTGATAGAATACAACTTTACCCTACACATTTATTTCTTAGATGTATAAGGCTGTATTTTAAAATGGATTTCTCTGTGTGATCCAAGGAGATTAGGCCAAACCACGCCCAAAACAACTCAGTTGTTTTATGCGTCTTAAAATTATAGGCCTTTGCTGCATTTTACTGGAGAACAACAGGACACAAGCAGTCTGAAGCTCAAACGGGATCACAGGTTCAGCGTGATAAATATTGCTGACAAAGTAGTTATTCTTTACTATCCAGAACTGGTGGTTGTCAAACAGCTTAGTAATTGAATATCAGGACAGAGCTGAAGTACTCTCCTTTGGTAAGAGTAGTCATATGGACCTTCTTGTCTGAGTCTTAAATTGGGTTCACCCTCCAGTTTTATTTCTGTTCTCTAGTATTTGCTTATCAGTCATTAACCTTTGGTGTCTGTTCCATAGTGTTTAGTCTCTCCACACACAATTTCAGTAACAATTTACTAAAATAAAAAAATAAGGTGTTTCTTAGCTGTTGGAAAGGAGACACATAAGTTAATTTCAGCTTTAGATTTAATTGTTTAGGATCAGACCTGCCTGAATTTCAAAACAGAGTATGCTCTCTACCAGATCTTGAAAGCAACTTAAAATACAGTGCAGATATGTGTGGAACAAGATGGAAGTAAAGGAAGGACTGATTTTTTGCATCTTCCAAGAGCCATATTCAGCCCAAGGTTAGAAAGAAAAATTGGTCTAGATTAGTAGATTACAATTCTCTTGCTGTGTTTAGTGTCTCTCATCTGTGTATGACATATACATGGAGTTTACTTGAAATAAAAATCCCATATAAAATTAAGCTGAACTCTATTACAGTTTAGAAGGTAAATCTTTCAAGTTGGTACCACTGAAATCTGATAGAAGAATGACTTTGCAAGGACTTCCCAGCTCTCTTACTTCCCTTGAAACACATGAATTTTGAATTTTGCTTGTGAAATTTCTCTTTTCTCTTTCCTCTTCCCTTTTTTCTTTATACTTCAGAAGTTTTGTGGAAAATTTTTCTCCAAATTTACATTTTGGGAAGAGCATACTATTCATTTTGAAGTTGTTTCAAAAGCGTCAGAGGTATTGCTTAATCTGTATTTTTAAATGGTACAGATGAAGCCTCGGGATAGTTTTCCTGATGGAACAGTTGTGTATTCTGAGTTGCATGGCACAGGTTGTTGCAGACTTCAGGGATGTTGCAGGATGCAGACACAGGGATGTTGCAGACTTCCTTATGAGTTATGTTTAATGCATGCCTGCTCTGTAATCAGCAGTAAGATGAAACCTCAAATTTGGCTGGATATTTGAACTGTCCATTGTCTAGACAAATTTGTTCAACTTGCATGATTGAGCAACTTATTTTCTCAGATGGCTAGTGGATTCTGATCTTGTTGTAGTTGTGCTACTGTTGCTGCTGAAAATATTTTATAATTTCAGTGGTAAATGCGTGGAATCATAAACTGTTACTTTGATGAACTGTATTTTTTTTTTAATATCCTTTTTCAAAATGTAAGATAACTGTCCAGATTCGAATGAATTATCACATTATTATGCACTACAAAAATATAATAATGTACCACTTCAAATAGAAAAGTCTAGCACATAGAACACCATGTATTATGATTTTGCCAGGTTACTTACTTTTCTGTGAAACATTAGTAATAAGGCTGAAGGGAAACAAACACTTGCAAATTTTAATTTAAAAGCAATATATCTTTAAACAGACAAGCTGAAATCTGTATCAGGAGAACTGACACTTTTTAAAAGTGCTCACTGCTGCAGAGTTTAATGAATATTCGTATAAATACTGGTGTAGGTGAAATTCTCCTATAGTTTGGATTTAGTAGGTGTAAATGTCTGTTGGTTTGTGATGTGTTGCATATGGTTGTGAGATACAGACATTATCAACCTGGGGACGGTGCCAGAATAAGTCATCATGAAATGACCTGATACAGTTTTTATTTAGGTACTGAATGGTTGTATTTAGATGCTCTCTATGTTAGCAGTTGCCATAGTGTTCTAAATTTTCTAAAGCCTCCTATACGTATTAATGACACCTGTTCTCTTTGTTTGATCTTCAGTCGTCATGTTCTCACTGTGTTCTTCTCTTTCCAGTGAGATCACATACTTCAGATTTTCCATGCTTGCCACTTTTCCAGCTCACACTGTGTAACTCAGTTAAAATTGAAATAGGTAACTGTAAAGCAGGTCCTATCCGCTTCGCTTGCATGGGAAGAGCTGTCATCTACATATATTTTTGTCTTTTGCCTGTTAATAAGGAATTGTTTTTTCCATTGTCATTGTCTTTGCCATTGGCTCTCTGGGGTTTTTCACCAATTTGTTGATCAGTTGTTGGCCAACAACATACCCACAGAAACAATATTGGCAGCCCTCCCAGAGAGTAATTTCCCAGATGCCAACAGCTTGCAGTTCGAAGGGCAGGTCTTGAGCCACAGATGTAATGGTGGTAGATAATAATCTTTGAAGTATTTAATTTTCTTTAAATTTGCTTGCGTTTTGAATCTGTATACAGTTTTTCCAGTTTAAACATTAGAAGAGGTAACAGTTCTTTTGGCAAATATACTGTGTATGCAATTGTTTTCACTTCTGCTAGAAGATAAATATCCCACTGTATATGACAGTCTTCAACTACAGCTGGAAGTTTTTTTCAACTTACAATGTTTTTTTAATGACAGAAAATGGTTTATGAAACCAAAGGTTTTCAGAAAATTACCAGTTTTAATAAATTTGGTTTCTGTGATCCTGTATAGAATTTTAGCAGAGAAGGCTGGGGAAAAAAAAAAAAAGAACCCTTCAAAATCATGGTAGAAGAGGATTTCCAAGGTGTGCGGGAGCACAGTTCGTATCGGCTGTGTCAGACAGTGAATATTGAGTTATTGACACAAAATGGAGTACCTCTGTGCAGAGGCATGAAATAAGAGAGGGATAGTTGCTGACTTCTTTAATCTCGTAGTTTAAGAATCACATCTGCAGTAAGAGTTACTGATAATGCAAATACTCAATACCAGATATTTTTATACAGGGTTAATATCCTCACCAAAATAAATATGGACAGGATCTCTTGTACTTGAAAATACTGCTGGTGTCAAATGGATTTGGGGAGCTCAAAATTGTAAGCTGGAAAAATAAATCCTCTCTACTGTTTGTTCCATATTTAAATGCTCCATTTTGGATTCTGTTATGTGATGATTCAAATCTAGGTAGAGTTTACTGGACTATGAGTGCATAATTTATTTATATTTTGTCTTCATGTTAAAGAACAGCATTTGAATTGGAGAGTTTAATGTATGGATTTAGTAGATAAGTTGCACGTTGTCTGCACTTGGCTTATGTTGGTTAGTGCTATGATTGGCACTGTTGTCTGCCTCAGAGTGAATAGTTAATTGCCAGCTCATAAACACACACCAAAGTGCGAATATATTTAATTCCTATCATTTTATCTGATCTGTTTAGCATTTCAAAGGACTAGCACTGTTCACTCATAAAGATGGTTAACTAGTGACACATCCACAGCTTGTATTGTCTTTTTTCCTCCCGTCTTAAAACTGAGGTAAATTTTGTAGCAACTGTTTTTTCTCATGCTAATGGTGAATGTCTTCTTCCTTGCAGTAAAGCTGTGATGGATGTATTAGTTGATTTATGCAGCCAGTATCACTTAAATCCATCCCAACACAGTCTTGAACTGAAGTCTTCGGGAACTCAACAAGTTCTGAGTTACAAGCCAAACACTTTGATAGGAGCACTGGATGTAGAGACAATACTTCTGAAAGAGAAGGTTCCTGAAGAGAAGGCAAAGCGACCTCTGCCAAGAGTCCCTGAGGTCAGTACTCTGTCGGGCTAAAATGGTGCCATGAAACATCATTTCATTCCTATGATTTCAAGTAGTTCTTCCAATCTTTTCATCTTGAAACTGGATGGGAGAGACTTGATTGACTATAACCTGCTTTACTAGCTTAACTGTTTTGCATGCAGATTGGTAGAGGCTAGTCTAGACATTTAGGCAAAATGTTGCACATGGTTGGATAGATGGAAATCTGAAGATTGGGGTGATTGAAATTTGCAGTAATGACTGAAATGAGAGTTATGGGGTTGTATGGAGGTACATGGAGTTTTGGTGATATTTTGTTTGCCATCTTTATTAAAGATATGGGAGACGACTGATCGTTAATAAATGTATTTCACATTACTGTGAAGATTCAGAAGAAGCCATTTTCCAAATGTTTGCTGAAATTTTTATTATTCTGAATCAATATCTAATTATACTCTCACATCTTTCAGAGTGGTACTTGTGAACATTCACAAATTACCTCTGTCCCTGATCCCTTTTCCTTCTTGGCCTGTTCTTGTTAATGTCTCCTTAGTGGCAAGGGAGGTCTGAGTTTGTTTTTTTTTTTTTTAATAACATTTTTTTGCAATTTGGGTTAAATTTGCCTGAGAATAGTCAAGACAATATGGAATTCCGCAGTGCATTTCTCATTGTAAAATTGTTGTACAATGCCATCACAGAGGTGAGACTGAGAGTTTGTGTTTGTTTCTGCAGAAATCTGTGAGGCTGGTAGTGAACTACCTGAAAACACAGAAGGCTGTGGTTCGAGTTAGTCCAGAGGTGCCTCTTCACAACATCATCCCAGCTATTTGTGAGAAGTGTGAAGTCAGTCAAGAGCACATTGTTCTTCTGCGAGATGGCATAACTGGGGAGGAACTGGAGCTTACCAAGTCCTTGGAGGAGCTGGGGATAAAGGAGCTGTATGCCTGGGACAGGAAAAAAGGTGAGCTGAGACCAAAAGAAGTTTCTGCAGGGTTATATAATGTGACAACAATATGGGCAACTTAAAAGCATTTGTGCTGCCATTCCTTTGGAGTCCAGCTGAAACAGCAAAGTGACATCTCAGTCCAGAGAGCAGCATGAGTTTGTTCAGTGAGCCGTGCCCTGAGCAGCAGCCAGGTCAGCAACATGCCCAGCCGTCCTTGGTTGCTCTTGGGCCCTGTGCCAGGCTGGGCTGCTCTCTGGCAGGGTGCAGGTTGGCCTGGGGCAGGGCAGAAGGAGGAGCTTTGCTACATCCTGGAGCTGCTGTCGGTAGAGGTGGGCGTAACACAGGGGCCTCGTCTAGGCAGAGCCTGACATTCACCTGTGCTGTGGCTTGGAGAGAAAGAAAGAAGAGACATGCCATAGTCATGGCAGCTGTGAAAGCTGAGAGGCAGAGGCGACAGCCCAGCTTTTATGAGAAACAGACTGGATAGGCTCAGAGACGAAGTTATTGATGGTTTAGTGAAGAGGAACTAAGAGGTATTTGTATTTGAAATTTTGTTCTCTTGTTTATTTATCCTCACTTTCTGTTCTGATAGTCGACATTGTAGTAGCTACTTCTTAGACTTGAGTTTTATCGACTGATTACGTATTCAAATAGCATAATTATGTGATGTGCTTTAAAATATACCTGCTTTAAAAATACACATTGACAAGAACTACTTCCTTTCAGGTCAGAAAGTGATATTCATTAAAATTGTCTCCTGCAGTTTGTCTCAATTGGTATCACTTCCAGCACAGTAAATGTCCTTATTTATTGTTTAGATAATGTCATTCTTGTAGATGCTGAGCTGCAGGCTCATTTTTTATTTATAAAGTTATTTATTTATGTTGACGTTCTGTCTCTTCTTTCCAACTCCTTTGATAAGTGACAGTTCTGCCTTTGTGCGAGTCAAATTTCAATGGGTTTAGACTTCTAAGTAAACTAAATATCTCCTATTCCTTTGAATTGTTAGGATGTTCAAAAGAGAGGTTGACAGCACATCATAACTCAATTGCATGTTTATTGTTTTAAGACATTTACTTGTAATTAAGCTAACCATTTTGGAGCAACATATTGAATAGGCAGAGTATTCAACAGGATTTGTTCAACATACTCCAGGGACAACTTACAGAGTAATTACCATAATAATGCCTGCCTTAAACTCTTTCCTTTCAAACAAAAAGGATGATGTATATGCTCCTTATCCTGATCCTGAGTGTATTTCAGCTTTTTCTGTCTTCCTCTTACTCTGTACCATGGTGTCTGAGAAAACCAGTAAATGTACATAAAATTTACAGGAATTTTTCCTTTGTTTCATCAAATTCCTTCTTCCATTTTCTCAGTTGTAATCTCCGAGAGGAATAAACCCATTGGTTTTAGTAGCTGTTGGTCTGTGAATTGTGCATTGAGTAGTTATTCAGCCTGTTTAGTTATCAGAACATACAGATTTTTTAAATACTTTCCCACTAACAAGTAACGCATCAAAGGTGCTAAAAGCTTAGGCTGTGCTTGTAAGAGCAGATACTAGAAAAACTCATCAGTCTTTCCTTCCCTGAAACAGAAATACCAAGTGCTGAAGAATTATTAAAAGAAAAGCTCTGCTGCCACCTGCTTACTTAATTCGATTTAGCAGTTGAAGCAGCTTCGTGAGTGAATCAGAAATTAATACAAACACAGTTAAACTGCTTCAGTAGCAGCTCTGCATGTCTGTTGTCAGTCAACATTTTTTTTTCTGTAATACTTAGGAAAAAAAGTGCTAGGAATAATTAATGAATATTTTGCCTTACGAGGCAGTATTAGAACTTTAATGTGTTTTCTCTTATCCTTTCATTGCCTGCCTTTTCCAGTTCCTCCATCAAAAACTCAGTCTGAACCTTCTCTGAACTATAGAGGTACTGTACAATGCTGCTGAAGGAAAACTGTCTGTCACTTCGCACTGTGTTTAATGTGGGTTTCGTAGATATAGATCTTTAAGAATGTTGAGTAAAATGCTGTAGAGAAACAAACTGTTTTCAATCTGTGTTGTCTTTTCAAAGTTTCGTGTATGTGTCTGTGCTGCTGGTCAGAACAAACACTTCTGTGCATACTACCTCTTCAGGAATTGTCATTAAGATGCCAGCAATTAACAAATCCTGCTATTTAACTATTCTGTAGTATGATATGTTTCTATACAGATACCAAGCCTGTTCAGGTTACTTAAAGCATGATTAGTTGAATTTCAGAATGACTAACATTTCAGAGGTCTCTTGGGTTGAAAATTTATTTAGTAGCAAAGGTAGAATATTTTGAGGTCACTGAGATCTTCCACTGGTTTCAATTTACACACAGCAAAGCATTTTAATATCAAATGTATATTTACACATTGAAAAGATGCTGACTTCTGAATTGTTACGGTATGTGGGGTTTGATTAGGTTACACCTGTGCTTCTGCTTCCAGTTAAACAGGAAATGTGTGTATTTAGAATATCCTCTTCCCCCACTAACTCTGTTTTAATACATTGCTTAAAATAATTATCCTCAAGAAAGGCATGGTTGATTTCTAACTGGCTTTACTTCTTTGCATTACTAGTAGACACAACATAACCAAAATAAAACTGGATAACTTCTTTAAATTTTGGGGAAGGAAGAAAGGAAGCCCACCTTCAGTGGGTGGCAGCTATTGAGCAACTCTTAGCTTGTGGCATCTTGGCTTCACTGATGCAGTACTATGCCCCCTAACCTTCTGTAATTACTCAGCTGTGGCTTCCTCTCTTATGGAGTTTAATACTAGAGGGAATATCTGCTGTATTTATCTAAGAAAAAGTGGTTCAGATTAATAAAGACTCATTCTTTTGGGACCACAGGCTATGGTTAAATCTCAGTTTATTGGGATTATACACTGCTTAATGGCAAAGTTGATGATCAGCTGCTAGTGACATAAATTATGCTAGACTTTCAGCATTAATGTTTATAGTTGAAGACTATATGAATATGGGAATCAAGATCCATATCTACTTACAGCCCAGCCCCAAGCAGAAAACCAGCAGTTTCTGATGAACAAATGAGCATATGTATTGCTTAGTATTTAAGAAAAGTATTATTTTATTACTGTATTTGATATCAGTGTAGTTGTAGCCTTTCTTAAGGATAGTTTCTCCATGCTTTTGTTTGGGTGCACTTTGAACTACTGTCTGTGCTTAACACGTTCTAACACCTGACATTGTTTATATGCAGTAGTGGTCTATGTGAAAATCATGTGCTTTGTGTGATATGCAAATACGTTTAGAGGAGTTCTGGGATTAGAATTTTTTTTGTGAAAGAAATCTTTATTTTGTGTTGACAAAAACTAATTTTGAATTTGTTCCTTAATTGTTATTAAGCATATAATAAAGTAAATAATAACAAAATAAAATTCTTTCCTGCAAATTAAACTTTCTGTATGCTAGTGAAATTCTCCAATGTGTTTGGAACCAGAGAGAAAGATTTTCAAGCATTATGTAGAGTCCATTGAAAAAGAGAGAGCTTTATAGTTTGTATATTGAATGGGAAGCATGTGGTTGTTTCCTGTACTGTATCATTTTGCTCATCCAGCTTGCGGATGAGAAACTGAAGGGGGAAAATGAACATAGACTAAATAGATTGAGAATTCATACAATTCCTTAAGCAGGTTCAAGGAAGTCACACGGTTGAGCTCTTACAGCCTGAAATACCTATAAATTCCCCTCTTTTCCCACCTGAAGTAAAAGCACCAAGATAAGAAAAGATGACCATAACCAGCTGGTTTAAGTTCTAAGGAGAGGCCTGTTTCCAAATGAGAGGTTTATGGAGCTTTATCCAAATCCATTTTGAGAATCTTTCCTTTAATTTCACAGTATTAAGTCACACTTCTGAATTGTTAAAGATATTCACTATAATATCTTTTTTTAAGTGTTTGCGTTTTTTTTAGTATTACAGTACTCTCTGCGTTTTGAGACATATTCAGAAATTTTCTCATGTTTTGCCTTTTAATAAGGGTTGCTGAATTGTGATTGAAAACTTGGTGCAGTTTATTAAATTGTTCCATTTACCTCCATTAGATTTTGGAACATACTCAGAACAAATAAAAGCTTGATGACCAATAAAGTGCAGGATCTGGCAGTTACTTAAATAATCCAGTCCATAACATCCCCAGCTTTAAAAAAATCCAGCACCAATCCAGGATGCTTTAAAATACTGAATCTTTATTTCAGAAATGTAAAAACTATTCCATTAAAATTGTTTCAGAACCAAATCGAAAGACTTCAGTAAGCAATGATGCAATAGAAAAAGAAAAGACACGACTTTTGGGATTGTTTAACGCTGATAGAAGAAGTAGCAAGGTAAGTGTTCAGCAGAGTACTGCTTACTAAAGAGAATTTATTTCTTTCTAAATCTGTTATGTCTGTGGGTGGTGCCATTTGTTTGGCCTGCCTTCCTTTTCCTTCCAGGGAGTAAGTAATCTGTTAACAGGTGCATAAACTGTGTGTATCAGTGCAGCCTGATGGAGATATCAGCTGCTTATTGAAAGAGCCAAGCATGTTGACCATTTACTTTTTCCTTTGTTTTTGTAATGCTGTGGGTTCAATAAGTGTTAACAATGGGCAGTAGTTTCAAGCAACCTATGTCTGCTTATTAGTAGTGCTCAGGTCATAAAATGCATTTAAGAAAGAACTGATGTAATATAGAACAATTAAGATATCAAGTAGATGTGTCTTATGACCTCTTGTGTGCATGGGTGATAATCTCTTTTGAAGCATTTATACCTTTAGGAAGCTCTGTGCAGTCACGCTACTGCCATATCCAAGTCTGTAAAGCCGATAAATCTGGTGTAGAAGTAACTTGGAGTACTGAACTGAAGGATCAGTGTCTGCTGGAGTATCTGTTAGGCATTTTAAACTTTGTCTGTTATCTTGAATTGGAAAATGTAGAAATTTCATATAAAATAATTATCTTCTATTGAGATGCCTTTATGAAGAATTTTTCATTTACCACAGAAATAAAATATAGAAAAACTTTCTGACACAAGAACACAGAAAGAAAGGTGGGCTTTTAGCTTCATACTTTTTGCATCCTTTGCTAAAAATAATAGTTTTAACTGATTTTGATTGTAAAGTATGTAATACTCTAGGATGTCAGAGTAAAAAGGGAATTTTCTTTCGTCTAGTTTAAAGAGCCCTTCAAGGCTTTTGGAGTGGAATTATAAAATGTGTGTCTGTCTGACTAACTGGCAGTAAGAAACAAATGCTTGCTGATAGACTGGTGTTTTCACTTACTCTTCCAGTCTTCTCAGTCATGTTTTTAAAACTGTGAAAGCTTTCCAAAATCTCTATTAGCTCTTTGCCTTTTTGATTATGATCAAATTTGGAGTGCTTTTGCTGGGAAATAGGTTCCTTTATGGACATTGTGAACGGTTGTGTTGAAAAACCACATCTGTCATAGATGCTAAACTATTCTTACCATCCTTAAAGGACTCATAGACACTGTATTTTATGAGATAAGTCAGTAATTTTCAGAGTATTTTTCTACAGAAAATTTTCCAATTTAGAAGGGAATGAAAGCATAATTGGAGCAATAATGCCATATCTACCTGGAAGAATCAAGTAAACAAGGGAGCTCAGCTTTAGCCTCTAGAGCATGCTATGGGACTGTAGTTCCTCTGGAAGAACCAATTATATTATAGCATGCGGTTTCTGCATCATAGTTTGTCCTTTGATTTCATTTTTATGACCTTGTGTATGAAGTCTGTGCTCTTGGAGTTCTAGCTCCTGAAGCAGATCAGATTTAAGTTTTAAAGTATTTATGCTTACAACCTTAGGAAACACTGCTATGAAGTATCCTGGTTCTCTGGTTACTGCAGTGGATTTTTCAGAGCAGAATTTGGGATGAGTATTCCAAGATTGCAAACTCTTCTCTTATTTTTTCTGTTCTCTTTCTTGTGTTTGTTAATCAAAGGCAAATTAGGCTATACTCTGAGTTTTTTAAAATACACATTTTAATAGATGCTAAGGATATTGAAGATTTGACTTGGGAGAAAGTAGGAACTTACAAGTCAGAAAGAGCTTCTAAATCTGAGGAAAAGGTCTAAGTCTTTCTTGCTGTTAGTTCTGACAAGTTAATTGATTTTTCTTGGTCATTTCTGTCACTTTGTTTAGTCAAGCAAAGAAATCACTGTTGCCTTTTCAATACAAACCTCTTGGAGTCTGAAACCCAGTAGATGGAAGAACTACTGAAAACTGAAAACAGCGCAGCACACAGGAGCAAGCAGGTGTTAAGTAGCTATAATACATCTGACTTGGCATTGTGAAAAGTTTCCATCCCAAACAGCAATGAAACTGCTGAACAGACTGAGCAGAATGAGGGTAAATAATTGAAGTGTTTTTAAGAAAGGATTTGGTAGGTTTATGAAGGGATTGTGATTTCAGGGAACTGGAATCAAAACCCCAGAGTGCTTAAACTCTGCTCTTTATGGTTATTCTTACATTTTTACTCCTCCACTAGACTTTAAGTTGGTTCTACAAATTTGTTTTAATTTTTTTGTTTGTTTGCATTATGATTTGCTGTGATGTATGTGTATGTATGTGGTCATACACAGTCTGTATTTTAGAGTTATTTGATAGGAAGAATTGTTCAAAGTCTTGCTCAGTAGTAGCACTGAAGAGTTGCAGGCTTTTGCAAGGGGAAGGCAATTTCTTTTGCAAGGGAAGAAGAGTGTTTGCCTGTGTTGCAAACTGTCCTGGATCAGGTGTCACTGCACACTACAGGCCTATGCTCAGATTTCCGTGCCCACACACATGCTTTCTTTCTCAGCTAGCTCACTGAAAGCAGTAATTGTGGTGTGACAATACAGTAGATCTAAGTTTACTAAAAAAAATTTGCTGCTGTATTGAAAGCAGCATGACACAGAATGAAAGCAAAGTCCTGTTCTCATGGTTGATACAAATTTCTTGAAAGTATTTCTTCGGTTAACTTTGTGCTGGCAGGCTTAATGCCAGATCAGGTATCATCTTGTTCTCTCCATTCTAATTTTATGCTGGATCAGTTACCTTCTGTTCTCCTGCAGCTGGGCATAAAAAACATAAAGGTGGCATGAACTCCATTCCTTTTTGATGTTAAATGTAGTCATTTGCCTGAGGCTAAATCCAGATCAAATTGGCACTGCTAAGCAATCCAGTAGAGCAGAGGTCCTGTGCAGACAATCATGGGATCTAGGCTTAAGCAGAGTGCATGCTAGTGCACAGAAACAGTTCCTTCATGGAGAAATGGCAAGGAAGAAGCTCTCTTTGTTCCCCTGTGTCTGTGGGTGTAGCAGAGACTAGCAATCTAGTCACCAATATTACAGGAATTAGTTACTATCTATTTTCATCCTTGCCCAAGTGTTGTTCTTAAATCTTTTTGATAAAGAATTTCTTAACGCCTTGCCTACATCAGGGAATTTTGCAGACTACTTCAGAGTCTCTCAGCAGTCAGGTCCAGCACTACTGAGACAGTTTGCCTTGGTTCTGTGATGGGGTTTGGTGTTTTGCTCTGGCATGTTTTTGTAGTTTTGTTTCCTTTGCTGCTGCTCTGTAGGATACTTATTTGTGTTGCAGACAGAAGAATACTTGAGGATGAACAGAGATTGTGGTGAGGAGGATGTTTTTAGTTCTGCATCTACAAGTGAAGGAAGCTTGGATGTAAGTACTAACACCGCTTGTAGATGCTATTGCATTCCTATTAGATCCTGCAGTTTGAATTAACCAGAAACCACTGCAGTTCCTGATGCTTGGCCAAGTAGAAGTAGAAATAGCTTGTGTTTTAGAAGGCTTAGTTATGTGAGTGCACAGTTTGCATATCTTCATGAAGTTAAAACATAATGCGCTGTCTTCAAATGAAACTTGCCAGCTTCACTATAAATAAAGGGGGGTTTCCACTATTAAATTCTAAGCAGTTGAAAGAAAAAAGTGTTTTAACCAAGGTTATAGATTGTGACTGGAAGACAATGGCAGTACTGCATGATGCAAGAGTATGTTTGTCTTTATCATTTATCAGTGACATTTAAAGGGTGCTTTTTTCTTATAAACCTACACCTCTCATTTTGATCCCTATGTATGAATTCTGCAGCATGGTGGCATTCCACTTGTTCCATAAGAAGCCTGGGGATGAAGAGTACTTTTATTTTAAACACTGGAAAGAACAGAAAGAATTTTTGTTAAGTACTTCAGTAGGGTTTGGGATACTAAAGTCCTGTGAACCACATTTAGAAAGGTTTTTAAGGGACTAACAGATTACCAATTTATGAGTATTTAGGTATCTAATTAGGAAGTGTGAACCCTAAATATTTTTCTAAGACTGTTCTAGTGATTTATTAATCATAATAAATGGCATGTCTTTTTGTTGCTTTTTTAAATTACATGACTATTTGTTATTATATTTTCAAAACCTGGAGAAGACTCTGATGGCATGATAGAAGCCTGAAATGTGAGGCTTAGCTCTGAATTCCCCTTTCACAAACAAGTCTTTGGAAAAGGCGTGCTGATCTGCAAAATACAGAACTCAGTAGACACAGAGAAGGGTGACAGAAAAGTGTGGAAAAAAATAGAAGAGTGAGAGAACAAATCCCTGATTAAAAGCATAATACAAAAGGAGTCCAAAAGGAGAAGGTAGTGGAAAAGTGATTGGCTGTGAGGTGTAAAAACACCTAACTCTGCAAATCTGTGAAGACTTCATAATGAAAGACTACTGAAATGCTGCTTATGACACTAAAAATTCAGGCAACACTACAAAGATGAATATATTAGTAGATCTCTCTTACTGAAACAGAGTCCTAGTAGAGGATGATACTGGTGATTGAAATAAGCAAAAGTATAGAAGAAGCATCACAAGCTCTGCCAAAATAAAATCATCTTGTGGTTTGTAGTCACTGCCATTTTGAATTAATCTGAGTATCTTGACATCCAAGTAGTAGAAGAGAAAGTGGAGAAAGAGTAGGGATTATAAGTGATGATGATGGTAGTTCAGATACTCTCAACTGTCTTTTATACAAGTGTGTTGCTTTCTTCAGAAGAGAGACATCTCTTTATTTTTTTAGGGAATTTTGTAGGATAAGTCATAAATTGACATTGATGAAAAAAATTTTCAAAACTGTTTGAACATGTAACTGTCTTCCAGAGGCTCAGCTCTCAGGGAGCAGTGGGCAGTTGAAGAGATGAAAATATTTTCTTTTTATTCAGTTACATGAACATGTCAGGGATTTAATTTTTTCCCCTTTCTTCTTAAGAGCAATTCATCTTCAAGAGCAATATACCCTTGTTCAGTGTTTATGTCTTTCACTTCTGGCTTGACACCTGTATTTGTACAAGCA